TATCAAATATATCTTCCAAAAGAATTCTCATCCAGGTGGGGTTTTTGTGAGCTGTTGAGCAAATGGACTGATAATTTTTTTGGGAACTCCATGGTTAATCAAGAAACTGCAATGGGAATCTAAGATGGACACTACCCCAAAAAACACATGATGGAGAGGCCCTTTTTTTAGAATAATTCTACATAAACCTTTCTGTACGGAAAACTCCAAATACAAGCCTTAAACTAAGCTGTAGTAAAAGTTATTTTTATTAAGGGAACACACCTCAAAACTCTGGGGTTGGTTACTTGTTGTTGCTGTTGTTGTTTGTTTTCTCTTAAGAATAACAGTGTTTTTAAGTAATTCTGTAATCCAAAATCATAAAATGCATAATTACGTCATGAAAGTTTTAAATACAGAAATCTATGAGAAATTAGAATTTTGCCTAGGAAGTTTATATAGCCATATAGATATTTATTGTTAAATGTCCTACATTGTGACTTAAACCTGTGACTTCTTTAATACAGTGAATCACAGCCCTCCATATAAAGGTTTACCAGCAGTAGACTTCAGTTTCTGCCCCTCAAATTTCCTATTATTCAAGCTCCTCTGAGAGAGCAATTAGCAGGAAAAATTAAAATACAAAGCAAAACCTGTTTAGCCTATTTTTCCCAAAAAAAAATGTGTTTTTTATTTTTATCAGCTCAGTTAGTTGTATCCAGGGTGACTTTTTCCCAAGCAAAGCCTTGGTGATGGACACACATTTAAAAATTCAAAAATCTGTGCTATTAACAATAAGGAGTCCAAATAACTATATGTAGGCTCAATAAATCTTAGTAAACATTGTAACATCTTTGAGTAAAGGACAGGTATTGTACATGAAAGCTAATTTCCATTGCTTCCACAAAACACTCCTGGACTGCTGTATCAAAAGATGTGATTAAAAGCAGGAGTCCGTGTCAACTTTCATAAAATTGTAGAATTGTTTGGGTTGGAGTGGACCTCAAAGATCATTTAGTTCCAATCCCCCTGCCATGGGCAGGGACACCTTCCATTAGAAAGTGTGTCCTTTCTCAAATATAAATAAAACTAAGTTTCAGGATTTCTTTTCAAATGGCATGTTCTCAAGCTATGATCTTTTAAAAAAAGAAAATTATGTTTAGGTGCAGTGCAATTGCTTTTGATGACAAAAACTACCAATGTATTGCCTCTTTTCCTGGAAGAGATGACCTCAGTTCTAAATGTTTCAACAGCAGAAGTAATCCTCTTTGGAAATGTGGTCAGGTCTCGTATGGAATGAGTCTTGCAGTTGCATGAAATATCTCTAGCAGCAAAGCACGTCTTTTCCCAAGGGACATAAGATTTGCTGTGCTCATTTGTGCACACCCTCGGGTACCATGAGAACTGAGCTCTGTGGGCTGTGGCTGCTGGATGCTGTTGGGGTGCAGCTGGCAGAACATGCACAGGGATCCAGCTCAGCACAGTCCTCTCACAAGAGAAAGCACTAGAAATCTACCTGATAGAGTAGTAGTAGATGAGAAAAGAAGGGATAGTAAATTATTAAATCAACTAATATTCACTAAAATAATTGTCTCAGTTCTTCTCAGCTACATCCATGTGAAGGCAATTTCAAAGCCCAAAGCCATATCAACTAAATGAACCTAGAGATTAAATGGAAATCTCATGAGAGGATGTGTAATTTAACATATTTGTAGTTAAGTAACTACAGGAGTAAAGTAGACATGTAAAGCAAAACTTGGACAGAGTTGATTCATTGGGTGGACAGTTGCAAATCATTCTAGAGCATCAAAGAGGCAAAACTTGTCACAAGAGTCTACATAAATGAAAAATAATAGGTGTTCAGGATTTGTTTTAATGAATATCATTAAAATATAATTTATTTAAAATTAATTATTTTCTAGAAGTAATTATAACAAAAAAAATAGGTTTTCCATTCCAGTTCCATAAAAAAGTGTTAGTATAACCCACTAAGTACAAAGGAAATTTGTTATAGTCTTCATTGAAGGTCAGAGTTGGGATTAATTTCAGAAAGGATTTATTTTTTTTTTTTTGGTTAATATTTTTTAATTTTCCTAAGATAGGCTTGAGCCATGTTTTGCATTGTCAATACTTTTTTTTTTTGTATTACACTGAACATAACCAGACTAAAATGTAATTAAAACTTCATGTGAATTTAGTTTAACATCTGTTTTAGCATCCAAGCATTTTCTACCATATTTTAATTGCTATAACTTGTTTTTTTTCTTTATAACTAAGACACCCTCATCAATTCCAAGGAGGTGTAAAACTTCTAGCTACTGTTTATATTTAACCATATGTATATATATATAATACCTTTAAATACCTATTTGTGTTTCCTCCATGGCAGTATTTCTGTTTAGGTGATGCCTTGATGCTCACCCATGTCTAAGATATGTCTCAGCTGCCTACTACTGGGAGGAGATTTTTACTGTGCACTCCTAAGGCAAGCATTGCACCAATAGATTCACAGAATCAAGAATCATGAGTCTTGGTGGCAAAAATAGTAACATTTCTAACCTTTAATTCTTTGGCCACCTTTATTTGCGTTTCTCAGCTGAGGCCAGACCTGAAAGCAGTCTTATGCACACAATCAATTTATGAGTGCACAATCATAATTTATTGCCCGTGAGGCACATAATGAATGGCTGGGGCTAATGTGGTGTGATGTGCTCAGCAGTTCGTGAGCAGGCAGACAAAGCTGCTCTGATAGCCAAGCTGGCCAGGCATTTGGCAAATATGCAGGAAAGTGCCAGCCCTTGGGTCGTTCTTTGCAGTGGACTGAACCTTTATGCATTGCCACCTTTCTTCTCTCTGATTTTACAACTTCCCATATTGCAGTTTTCCTCTTGAATCTAAGACGATTTCAGATTTTTTTGTTTCAAGTTAGTTCTTTTGCCAATAGCATCTCTGTACTCCTGTGGGCTTTTTATTTCTACTTTTCAACTTGTACGAGCCAGTGGCCCATGTTAGCTGCCTCTCAAGAGCTGACAGAGAATGCCACAGTTCAGCATGATCTTCCCTTTGTCAAAAGTGGGGCAAGGGCATATGTGGGTCCTCTTTGCACGTGTACCCTTATTCTCAGCACTTTAGAAGCTCACTGTCCGGCACCATTTGGAGACAGAGCAAAAGTGCAAGAACAGGAAAGCTGGTTTGACTGTAGCACTGAAGGGGAGGTTTATAAGAGGCACAGTAAAAAGGAGTCTCCCAAAGAACTAGCTGCCCCAGAACTGGGAAAGGCCAGTGCATGGTAAAGCAGATTTGGAAGGGAGGTGTGGCAAAAGATGTTCCAGACCGGCCTCTCACAGACGTACCTCGGCTCGGTGCTTGCCCAGTGCTAGGCCCAGGGGTGGCAAGGAAAGGCTGCCAGGGAGGGTAAGGGGAGCACAGAGCCCACCTTCCCACTCCCTATCTCTGCTCTCTTCCCTTTCTCCGTCACTCTTTTCACTTTGTCTTTTTAGATCAGCCCTTTATTTTCTTCCTCTTTCCCGTTGGTTCAATATGATCCTGTTCCTTCCTGTCTCCCCTCATTCCCTATTGTCTTCTCACCTCAAATTCACTTCCCAAGCCGGCTTCCCTGCCATGACACGACAATCAGTCTCCCTTGAGTCATCCTCACTTCCCCCCAACGTCCCCTATCACTCTGACGTCTTTCCCCCCTTCCTCCCCCCAGCTCTGACGGACGCGGTCCTCTCACCCCACTGAACCCTCCTCCTTTATAAAGGGATTTTCCTCTTTTTAATCCACGAGACCCCCGTCGCAGCCTCAGCGCTCAGCGCACCGTCGGCACCGCGGGGCGAGAGACGATCCTCCCTTCGCTCCGTCCCTCCCCCGCCAGCGGGAAAGCCCCGGGCGGGGACGGAGCCCCGGGCGGGGGGGACAGAGCCCCCGGCGGCTCGGCCCCGACACCGCCCCGCGGCATGGGCGGCCGTGCCCCGCGGGCTGCGGGCCAGCGCGGCGCCGGAGCGCAGGTGGGCGGCGGGCTGCTGGCCTTGCCCGACGGCGCGGGGCTGCGGGCGGTGCTGCTGCTGCTGCTGCTGCTGCTGCCGCGGGCGCCGAGCCCCGGCAGGTAGGGCTGGCCGGGCCCGCTGGCCACGCCGGCGGAGCCGCGGAGCCGTCGGGAGCGCGGACGGGTCTTGCCGGAGCGGCTGTGCGAGAGCGAACGCGGAGCGGCAGGGTGGGGAGGGGGCTCCGGGAGAGGCTGGGTACGGGGCTGCCGCCGGCTGCGTCGCTCGGGAGTTTTCCCCCGCTGTAGTTGGTATACTTCAACATTTCTGCCTTCCGACAGCTTTTAAGCTTGCCGTTTGCTTCCCTTATTGTGAGAGAACAGATTCTTATGTTTCATGCTGGACAATTAAATGTTGCAGAAAAGAAATCGCAGATTTTAAAATACGGGAGATGTTAAAAGGGGGACAAGACTTAGCATTCCAATACAAACAGTTAAAAGATGCGTTTTGCTGTTGTAGCTATTACTTATGCATAGTTCTAGTATTACTAGTTCTAGTACATTTGAACTATTACATAGTTCTAGTATTACTTAAAGGAGTTTTGTCTTCAAAACAGAGATTTTTGTAACAGTCCACATGGCCAAGATCTTCTATCTCTTGTGCCAAACTAGTCTGTGACTGAAAAGTTCCCAGACACTGAGGACTTGGTGATACCAAAATAATTCAGTGCTCAATAACTGACTTCAAAGCATTGTGTAGCTTTCAGCCACGTCGTTCATTCCCCTTTGTGCTCAGAGACTGTAACCACAGGTTGTTGCTCCACAGGCGTTTTAATTGGCATGTGACATTAATCTCAATTACATCTGAAATTCTCGTTTCATAAATTCACCAGACTAGTCTCTTTAATAACCATATTTGTACAGGGTCTTTGTACACTGATTCTAACAAGCAGGCATGTTAAAAGCAGATCTATTATTGCATTCTCTCCAGAGGTCTTAATGAAATAGCAATATAAGAAACAGTTGGGACTTCAACATGGCTTTCCATGTGGAGGGACTGGTGGCCATAGTTGTCTTCTACCTGGCAATCCTGGCAGTAGGGATATGGGCTGCTTGGAAAACCAAGAACACCGGCAGTGAAGGAGATCGCAGCGAAGCTATTATAGTCGGTGGAAGAGACATTGGTTTACTGGTTGGTGGATTTACAATGACAGGTATGTAAAAAAACACTTTTTCATTTCCTAGCCAGCGTATAACTTGTCAGTTTTCCACCTGAATAAATTTCAGTCTGTGTGTTGAGTAATGCAAAGTGGGGAAAATATATATGCTTTATATATATGCTTTTTATCCAATTGTTTAATGAACAGCCAAATGAGTAATCTGTATAAAAACAACAAATGTTTGTAAATCTTACAGGAAGAATATATTTTCATTAGCTTTCATATATTTTTATTCCATCTTCATCCGTAGATCAGATATGTTTGGGACAAAAATATGGAATTAATACAGATTAATTAGAAAGTTTTAAAATAATTGTTACTGTATTTAAAACCATCCAAATTTGTGTGTTATTCTTGGGTTTGTTTAATCTGAGTAAAACAAAGTTTATAGGGAAAATATGTGTAGGAAGGGGAGGGTGTATGACATAAATTAACTTTCTAAAAGAAAATTGGCGCAAGTCCAAACTTGTAATTGTACAGATTTCAGCAAAATTATTTTGTGGATTCTTTTAGCTTCTTTTTCAGCAGTTGGACAAAATAATGCATTACTCTCAATAGTAGTATCAGTAAGAAAAGGCTGGGTGAAGGAGGAGTTCTTCACTGATTTTGTAAACAGTGCTCTCTAACTCCCAGAGCCAGTCAAACCAGCCTTAGTAAATAAGATATTCATAATACTGTCCAAAATCTCAAAACTTATATTATGGTATTGGAACAAAAATGCATTATAGGAAGAGTGAATACACCCACCATTATATTAAGGTAAATTAATTTTTAGGCATGTTTTTTTTGTTGTTATTCTTAATTTAATCTTAGTCCTATTCAGGCAAAGCCCTTTCAATTGTCAAATTGAATTTATCTGACTATATTTATGTTTTGCTTTTTTGCCCTGTTCTGCTTTCACAATTATCTAATCAGGAAGAGACAGGTAAAACTTGGGCCAGAACTCTGCATTCTTTTTTTGAGACAAATTCACATTCTTTTGCAGGGGCATTTTGCTCATTCAAAGACTGAATATTTAGATACTGAGTAAAGAATGTTTGTAGAAGTCAATAAGTCAATAAAGTTTGAATACAGTCAGATGTTCTACTTTTTGCACTATGCTGTAATTTACTGTACCACGCATCCATCGGCTAATGATGCATGAGGTATGACGAGCTCATAGCAAGAGCTGGTTAGACTGCTTTCTGCTGAATGAAACGTTTTCAGGAGCACTGAAACCAGAATATTTTGCAGAAATATTGGTTGCCACAAAATGATAAACATTAAATCAGGGGAGCTGAGATAAAAAAAGGCATTTTCCACAGAAGTGGCTACGACTAATGGCTTTGCATGTAGAAGATACAAATTCTGGTCTCCTTAATCCGATTTTGCATGAATATTTTGTGTAACAGCTGAAGCACAGATGAGACCTGAACTGGGATATCCTATATCTCAGGCACATTCTGTAGCCACCACAGTTCACACCCACACATGTTCATCCTGTATTGTGCAAGTTCTAGAGATGGCACAGTATCTCATCTTTGCAGTAGAATATCAGAGTGATCCCAAAACCTTTGGGTATCTAAAGCTGTCATGGAATTTGTACTGTCAGGGCTGACACTCTCTCTCCCCTGTGCCTTCCTTAAATCTGGCAATTAAAGCTTGATATGGTGACTAACCTACACTTGCAGTCGTAGCAAACCACGCCTGGCGGATAAAACAAGGTCTGGGCACAAACCTGCTGAGCCAGGGGTTAGTCCGAGTTTCGTCTCAGTTAGGGTGTTTGGGTCACTCAGTTTCTAAAGTCATAACAAAATTATGAAAGTAAGCTGATGAAAATCCACAATAATTTTTACAGCTTGATAATATTTGCAAAATGGACACATCATTCAAGGACATACTTGCTTTTTTAAAAATGGTCGATGCTGATTTTTCACCTCACAACCATGACTATTCCAACATCATCTTTATGTTTTTCAGGTTTAATTTTCTAAATATAAATTAGAAAGCAAAGCCTACCCTGCAAAAGGAAAACAAGAATTGTTTTAAAAGTCTCCAGAAAGGATACTTTTTGTATGTACATGAAGCACTGTGGGTTATGAGATAGGGCCTTATTCTCTTTTTTTTGCCTGAGACAAACTCTGCAATGTTCCACAGGTACTGGCTATGAAAGTGGTAAAAGTTTCTAGGGTTATTTAGTGGAGAGGATGACAGCACTTAGCTTATAAATTTAAAATAAAATTCAGAACATAAGCATCAAAGTCAAGATTCCAGAGTAATTATAGCTGATTTTCTAAATAACATAGAAAAATCTTAAAGCACTACCTATAAATAACAGCTGTGGATATTTTTGGATATTTGTGGGTATATGCTATGATCCTGAAGAAGAAAAAGCTGTATCAACCAGCTACTGAAATGCTGAGCACAAAGCCTGTGGACGGTTGAGTGTGTCTGCAAGGAAGATAATAGAAAGAGTGAAAAGGTTGAATTGTGGATGGATCACAGCAGCTCATGTTAAAATGAAATGACACTGTGCCATAGTAGACACGTATAATCTTTGTATAATTCTTACATAATTATAGATAAAATGTTGCATGAAATACTAGCCTTCCTTATTTTTGTGAATGAATTTTTTTTAAAAAGTGATACCTGCAACAAAATTGAATCTAATTTGATTTTGGTGATTGAGTTTAAACCTCAAAGGAAGTAGCTGATATTACATAACTAAATGCTCACAAACATGACCCAAAGGTAGTAATCTATTGATGTAATTTTTGCATTTTAGTTAGATAGAGCTACGTACCCTCCCACATGAAAAAGAAATATTACACAGTCCTATTTTATTCTAAACCTTGGATCAGAATTTTCATTTTACAGAACTTGATGAGTTTATTAAATAATTTGAATGGTCAGACAAAGAATTGTTCCTGAAGAAGTGCCAAAAGATTTGGTTTCCTTGTATATATCAGTATAAAGAACTCAGAGATCAACTTCTGTGTCTCATGGGAACTAGAAGAAAAATTGCACTCCTTACCCTCAGTATTTGTCTGATATTTTTTTAAAGTGCACGTTTTAAATGGATGTTGGTATTTGCTGCATTTTTTTGTTCTTCAGATGGCAGGCAAATAGAAGATTAAAATAGATTACCACATGAATGTTTTCATAGATTATTAAATATTGTATTCCTTTTGGCTGATTTAGGTAAAAACAAAAAGAATTTCACCAAAAATAAAGGTATTAAACTAACTTTAAATTGTGGCTTAGCAAATGAGGATCAGAAAATTAATATCTAAAGTTGAAATCCCATCCTGTCTTATCCCTTTATTTCATTTCTATTGTATTTACCTGTGTCAGTATACGTGCTGACTAGCCATTCACCCCCTCAGAAAAAGACATGTAACACCTTCCTAGAGTTCTCTGGTCCTTGACAAATGTTCCAGAACAGTCATGTGAACAGAAAAATTGATTAGCAGCAATTTTTCAAACCGTAATCCAGAAATCAAGGAATAAAATTAAAAATAAAGGCTAAATCCTTCATGCCGCCTTACACAGCAGTATCTGTCTGCAGGGCAGACAGTGGAGGGTAATGACCTCTACAACATCACACAGAAGGGAATTGACTTGATCTCCTCCAGAGGAAAATGAGGGAGCTAGGCATGACATCCAAGTGCCCCTTGGAGAACACCTGACACCTCTGTGGCAGCCACTGGCAAATCAATGCAGCAACTGGAAGCCCCCTTCACCACAGCTGCAGCAATGCGTATACGGACACAAATACGTGTGTCCTTGACTATGGAATATCATTCCCACCTGTAACCAAGTATATAATTAATGTAGAATTCATGCTTATGCATTTTCTGGGGAAAGAGACAAATAAGCTTCCTTTTCTAAATATTTACCTTTTGATATTGTATACAGGTGTTTATTCCATGCTGAGACACAATAGGCAACAGACATCCCAGGTAGTCACAGATTTTTCAGTACAGAATGGTGTCTCTCAGGGGTCCTTACAGGGGCCAGTACTGTTCAACAGCTTTGTTGGGGCTGTGGACAATGGGGTTGAGGGCACTCTGAACAAAGTTGCAGATGACACCAAGATGGGTGCTGTGGTTGATACTCTAGAGGGAAGGGATCTACAGAAGTACCTGGCCGAGTGTAAGAGGCCAAGTAGAATCCTCCAGCTGAATCAGGCCAAACCCAAACATGGATACAGGGTGGGTGGTGAGTGGATCAAGGGCAGCCCTGTTGAGAAAAAAACCTGGACTCACAGAATTGTAGAATCATCAGGATTAGAAGAGACATTTAAGATCATCAAGTCCAACTGTCAGTACTAGCACTGTAACCCCTAAACCACTAAACCACATCACCCAGTGCCAGATCCAGACACCTCTTAAACACCTCTGGGGGTGGTAACTCCAACACCTCCCTGGGAAAGCTGTTCCAGTGCCTGACCACCCTAACCTAAATTTTGACCTAATAGTCAATTTTTTTTTTCTAATGTTGTAGTTTAAGGCCTGGTGATCTGAAGATTTCGGGATGTTATGGAAAGTTAGTAAACCCCCCCACTCTGTTAGGATAGTAAAGCCTCCTGCAATTAACCAATAGCACCTAACTGTGACGAAAGCAGATGGGAGTAACACAATGACCCTAGGTTATAAAATGTTAAATTCCCCTGCAATAAACACCATATTCGCCATCCATCATATTGATCCTGTGGTTTATGGTCCGTGTGGCCAAAGGGAGCCACCGTGCTGGCTCTGACCAGGGTGTTTACCTTGCTTGAAAACCTACATCTAACATCTAATCTGAATCTCACCTATCTCAGTTTAAGTCCATTTCCTCTTGTCCTTTCACTGCAGGCTTGGTAGAAGATGCTGGCTCCACATGACTACATCCTCCTATCAGGCAGTTGTAGAGAGAGATGAGGTCCAGCTCTTCTCAAGACTAAACTTACCCAGCTGCCTCAATTGTTCCTCATCAGACATCTTTTCTAGACCTTTCATGAGCCTTGTCACCCTTTTCTGGACACACTTCAGCCCTCAATGTCCTTTTTAAAGTGAGAGGCCCAGAACTGGACACAGTACTAGAGGTGCCAATACAAGGGGATGATGTTTTTCCTGGTCCTGCTGGCTGCACTATTGATGATGCAAGCCAGGTGCCATGGGCCTTCTTGGCCACCTGGGTACACCTTGGCTCATGTTCAGCTGCTGTTGACCAGTATCCCCAGGTCCTTTTGTGGTGGACCGTTTTCCAGACATTCTGTCCCAAGTCTGTAGCACTGCCTGGTGTTGTTATGACCAAAGTCTAAGACTCAGCAATTGGTCTTGTTGAACCTCATGCACTTGGCCTCAGCCCACCTCTCCAGTCTGTCCATATCTTACACTCCTGCAGATCAACACTGACCCAACTTGGTGTTATCTGAAAATTTGCTAATGGTAGACTTAATCCCCTCATCCAGATAATCAGCAAAGATGTTAAACAAGACTGGGCCCAGCACTGACCTCTGGGAGACACTGAGAGAATTGGGGTTGTTGGCCTGGAGAGGAGAAAGATCTGTGCAGGCCCAGATAGCAGCCTTACAGTACCTAGAGGGAGCCCCTTTTAGAAAAGATGTTGATCAGGGCATGTAGTGATAGGATGAGATGTAGAGATAGAGAACTGAAGGGTAGATTTAGATTATATATTAGGAAGAAATTCTTCACTGTGAGGATGGTGACACACTGGAACAGGCTGCCCAGAGAAGTTGTGGATGCCCCATCCTTGGAAGTATTTAAGGACAGGTTTGACAGGGCTTTGAGCAACCTGGTCTAATGAGTGGCATCCCTGCCCATCACAGAGGGGTTAGAAATAGAAGATTTTTAACGTCACTTTTAACCCAGACAATTCTATAATTCCAGAACTCTGGCAAACAAAGTATCATACTCCCCTCTATCTTAATTCATACTGTCAAGAGTCACAAAATCCCAAATGTTTGACAACTTGGTCTTCTCATTAAGAACCAGCCTTAACCCATCTTCCCCATGTGGTCCCATATCCCACCCCTTATCTCTGTGATACACAATGGCTGTTGCTAACCAAAACTCTAGTTGTCACAGGTCTCCTTGGGTCACTTCTTCTGTTTAAGTCTTTCTCTGCATGCACACCCCTCATCAAAGTCCATTATACCATTTCCAGCAACAGAATGGTTGCTGGAATGAAGCAACATTCCTGTGCTTCCAGTTGCTGAAAGGGGGACAATTGTAAGTCTCTGGTTGCTGGAGATCTTTGATTCCAAAGCCACAGTACAATTCAGCCACATAACCTCCAGTAGTACTTGAGAGATATCACAGTCAAGTGGAAAAGAGTGGTTATTTAGCTCTCAATGAATTTTCTTAGGGAATTTTATTACATTTTCTTAATTTGTTTTTCTCTCCAATTGTTTGTCTTAAAGACAAAATCAAGTTTGCTTGTATGATGGTGGATGATGGGAAAATTCTGAGGAATGTTTAAGGAAAATACATTTTGAAATATTGTGACTTTTTACACAGAAACCCTAACTACTCTTATATGGAAAAGTAAAGGCTTCTGACACAAACCAAAACATTATAAAAATCTAAGACTTGTAGTGGTCTGTCTGCCCTTGTTCAAACTGCTAACTTAGATTTATAAAACTTATTCATTATACAATAGAGATAATTAAAAAAAAAATCTTGCTTGGAATCTGCAAACAGGAAGAGCTAAGCTTTATTACTTGATTAGTTACAAATTATTTTTGCAGATGTAGTCACAATACATTTCTGTGTTGGAGTTCTTCTCTCATATATACTGTTGATCCCAAATTCTCAAATGTAGAAATTTCCCTTAAAGGCAAAGAATCAACTTATTAAGTGTCAGAGGTTGGTATATTAAAAATAGTGCTTTTTGGAGAGAGAGAGATAAAATCAGATTGGAGATATCAGATTGGGCTATTGGAAATAGCACATAGCTGTTATGGAATATGGCTCAAGGGAGCATAAAAAAAAATGAATCAAAGTTTAGAACTTACATAGCAACACAAAAAGCAACACTATATAGAAATATTTTGAGAAATCAGAGTTTATAAATATGCTTCATGTAGAAACAATTTAAAATTTAACAAGGTTTAAAAGATGTTTTTTTCATTAAGGTCCTGGTAAATAATGTGTTCATAAAAAAATTGCTTAATTTAAATGTTCTTTTTCAAACTCCCCCTTATACCTCTTCTTTATTTGTACTAACAAAATAGTAATGGTAAATAATGGGGGACTCAGCCCTCACATCTTCACTGACTATACAGAGACTTAGACACTTTGATGATTACCTCAGTCCATTTGACTTCTTTTTTCATATGCTTAGGCTGTAAATTCAAATTAGGGCTGCCTTTAATAAAAGAATGCCATGCCTGGCAGTTGTATTGTTCATGTAGTAAAAAACAATATATCATACATAATGACAACTTAATTATACAATATGTGAGATTTTCTTTCTTTGTGGGCATTAAAGACTTTTCCATCTTTTCCTTTTCAGCCACGTGGGTTGGAGGAGGTTACATCAATGGGACAGCAGAAGCTGTGTATGTCCCTGACTATGGTCTAGCTTGGGCTCAGGCCCCTATTGGATATTCCCTTAGCCTGATTTTAGGTAAGCAATGACTAAAACTAGTAATCCCTCTTTTTAAAGGGTTCTGATATCAGGTCAATTATTTGAAATAAAAAAAAACCTGGGGTCTGATAAAAGGTTGCTGAGGTAAACTGAATCCCTTAGGCTAGTACGTTTGGTTATTGAAAAAAAAAACAAAACAAAACAGAAAATCTCTATAAATAGTTTGATATCTCAAGTGTCCTAAACTCTTTGTCAGTACCTATTTGATTATTCCAACCATATTCTGCTGGTTGAGGGTAGGGAGGTATGTTTAAATAATCAATGCCAAGTTTTATATATTCATGTTTTCTTTAATTGCCTATATATCAGGAACATGACCCAGGTGCCCAGGTATCAGTGCACCTATAAATCTTGGAAATAGACAAATATCCTTTTGTGTTAGGAAAGTGCTTATACTTTGTGGATCTCCATCAAGAATCTAGGTAACTTTTCTAATTTTGTGTAGGAAGTATGTAGTACATAGTATGTAGCACATTGGACTGGAAACTGTCTCCTTAAAACTGGAACATGCAGCCCCTTAAAAGTAGTACAGTACTCTAAATCACGTGTCAGAATGCAAATGTAGAATCCTGATATATGCAGGGTCAGAGTGTAAAATACAGACAGTATTGTAAGTTTTAATGCTGCAATAATAATGATGCAATTCTTTAAAAAGCATGTTGTTACAGAAAGAAGATCCTGTGTTTTTCATATTTCCTTAATGTGACTGATGTACTCACCTTTCTAATATTACTTAACATCCCAGTCTATTCTGAGTCTATTCTCGGGGTCCTCCTACCTAATCTATCCCTTTGTTTCCTTTGGTTGCTTATCCAGATCCTCTTTCACATTTTACTTCCAATACAACTTGTTTTCCTTCCTCTTTCTTTTTTTCCCCTTGAAAATGCTTTCCAATGGCCTGTCCTAGTTATCCTCCCTTCCCAGGCAGAAACTTTTCCCACTGCAGATGTTCCTCTCTGCCATTCACAGGCCAGCTCCAGCTCTGGCAGTGGTTGCAGACAGAGGAAGGAATTTCTGTAGGCATGATCTGTACATGAAGGTTTGAGGGGAGGAATTCTTTATCCTTCTTTAAACAAACAGATAATAAAAATTATAAACACAAGGCTGGGAAAAAATATTACTGCTTCAGACAGGAAGTATTTAAGATTCATGTCATCTCCTTGTTTGTTCTCCATACATTTTTTTTTCCTTATTTTTTTAAGCAATTTAGCTTTAAAAGTTAGAATACTTCCTATTTCCCTTGACAGCTGTTTGAACATTCTAATAGATTATGGTTTTTTTTCTTTAATTATCTTTTGCAATGATGGCATAACAAGTAGAACAGGAAAAGGATCCATTACCAAACCAAGAATCACAAAGTAAAAAAAAAAGCTGATGGGTTTCTGCATCTACCTGCCTAAACACAGCATTCTCATAAGCACTATAAATTGGTATGACAGTGTGTGACTGAGTACCTTCTGCTCAGGGAACTTGATGAAATAAGAAATATGAGTTATAAAAAGCAATACAAAGAAATTTGGAAAATCTGCACAACACAATGAAGAAATGACATATCTTGTCATGAGGAACCTAATTAAGGGCTGCCAAATGCCATACAGTACATCTTATTGGGAACTGACAAGGTTTCCAGTTCATTATTATACTTTATACAGCCGTTTTACTGTTGTAGGAGTCTACTTGGTATAGCTATGTGCAGATCTCAACTACACAGGTTTCCATACATGGGCTCTTTCAGCTTTCCTGAGATAGGTCCTTCTTTTTTCCCAAGACAGAAAGAATTTGAGGAGGGGAAGCCTTTGCACATTTACGTAGATATGCAGCCCATATACCAGCCAGGCAGAGCAGAATTGTGATATGTCAAAATTCCTGAACATACAAAAGTGAAATAACTGTATGACAAATATTCATGGAATCTGACACCAGCAGAACTCAGAAGCCATCCGACCTATCCTGCAGGTAGTAAGGTTGATTCAAAAATACATAATAATTCTGAATTGTCCTGAAAGAATTAGATTTGCTTAGTGTACACTAAACCACATGTGAAATTCTATTTCTGATTCAGGAGTCTCAGTTTTATTTTTAGGACTGTGTGAAACTTCATGCTGGATTCTGGTCTAAGAATCAACAGGATTAGGTCGAAAAGCCATTCCCTTAGGCTAATCCAAAATAAGACAAAACTCTGACAGCATCCATAATGGGAGATTACATAAACTGAGCCAGAAAAAAATAAGAAAAAGCCTCTTTTTAAATTATTGGACTATAGATACTAATGGAGTGTGTGTGTTTAAATAGTTCTGTAGATGTATGTAAGAGTTTCCAGAGGATATTTTAACTGTACTTTTTACTTACAAACAAACAAACAGTGTTGGTGACATTTTTGTACCCCTAACTGACAATGAATGTTTTATCCCTTAATGGTAATGCATTTCTAAACTGCAGCTGGTGTCTTAATGCTGCTTTTTCTTTGTAGGTGGCCTTTTTTTTGCAAAACCCATGCGATCCAAAGGCTATGTGACAATGCTGGACCCTTTTCAGCAACTTTATGGAAAAAGGATGGGAGGACTACTGTTTATTCCAGCTTTAATGGGAGAAATGTTTTGGGCTGCTGCCATCTTCTCTGCCTTAGGTAAGGAATAAGCAGTATAAAAATTTATTGCAGGTAGAAATTATTAAGAATATCAGAAATGCATTAAAATTCTGGCTCCAAATGGTAACTATTTAAGCCTAATAATTCAGACTGTGACATTTCTAAGACCCATGCTAACTAGCAAATAAATCCAGTAATGCTACCCCTTTATTATTTTGATAAGGGAAAGACATGCAAAGTATCTATTCATTTTCACATACCTTAAAGCTGATCCTCTTCAAAAAGCATGAAAGCATTTAGGAACAAATTTCTGTTAATAGTGAGGGTGACATAAATGATTGCAAGTGCCCCTTTTGTGTTAAATCTGACCCAGCTTTTCTTTTACATCTCTGGGATGAGAGAAGTTGGTCAAAATTGCTCTTAATGATATGTAACAGCATTTCCAATGCATCTAAACAAACCAATCCTTTGCACATAGGAGATTTACATATACAGAACATTCCATAACACAAATAATAGAAGTAAACCAGATGCTGATCAATAAATTGAAGAATTATTCAATTCTAAATGGATTTCTTCCTGAAAACATGAAGAAAATACTTAGGAGTCAAGAAACAATTTGGAGAATTAGTGAAACTATGACTCAATAGAAAATCACTCAACTACTCATCCAGTCCTGAAAAAAATCAGCTTCCAGGGTTTTTGATTATATTTCAGGCCTGAATTTAGCAACCCCTTTAAGAACAGAGAAAGCCCTTGAGTTGAAGCACCAGTAATTGACTTTTACCAACTAATCATACTAATAATGCACATGCATGTGGTAATGCCTTCTAGCATAAGCTATTTTAAACAAAAATAAACTTTGAAGGTACTCTCCAACTGCGCTCTGATGAACTGTAAAGCAATGGGGAGCTTGTTTACCACAATTTCATCACTAAATCCTTAAAAGACTAAGAAAAAATGCATGCTGAGGTGATAGGAGTTGAATAACTTGAAGAACACTCAGAATATTTGGAATATTTTTGATTAAGGACAAGCCATTCTCTTTTATTTCAACACAAGTGGTCTGAATACCTTTCTAGATTTATATAACAGCTGACAGTTAAAGACAGTTAAAGACTGTCTCAATGAGTATAAGTATCATTGAAGATTTTGATTTTAACTATTCTGTGAATAATCTAGTTCCATTTCCACACCTATCCTCACTGATGAATGTTTAATCCCAGTACTTTTCACTACTTGCTCTTCATCACGGCTCCTTGCTTGGCAGGGTTGTAGATGGGAAACACTGGCCTTAAAGCTGTGGAAAAGCTCTGAGCTTGTAATTCTTAAGCACATGAACTTTGAAGGTTCATTGTGCAGCAAAACCTCATCTGTCAGTTCCCAGAAGCTCTTATATATCACACATCTTGTTGTCTTCTAAGGCCAAAACTCTTCCAAATATGTGCTCCATAATATCCATCTACAATAACTGCAAGCACTAAAAGTTGTTGCAAGATGTTTCATTTAAATCATTCTAATTAGAAGGAGAGGAATTTTTTTAACACTGTCTTAAAACTTTGCAATCACTTGAAATAGCTAATATATTAAGTGAAATGTAAAACCATCCTGATAGCTGCTGGAGGGGCAGTGCAGGAGGCCACAAGCTGTTCAGGAGGTTTCTTGAGTGCACTGGCAACAACTTCCTGACACAAATGATCAGGGAGCTGATGTAGGGAGGTGCTCTGTTGAACCTGCCACCTAGACACAAGGAAGAACAAGTCAGAGATATAAAGGCAGATTTGGCTGCAATGTTCATGAGATGATGGAGTTTGTGGTCCTAAGAGGGGGGAACAAGGCAAATACCACAACTGCAAACATAGACTTCAGAGGAGTGGAGCTGGGCTTTTCCAACATTCTGCTTAGAAGAACCCTGTGGGAGATTGTCCTGGAGTCCAGAAGAACTGGTTGATATTCAGGGGATCACCTCCTCCATGCTCAAGAACAGTTCATCCTAACAAAAGGGAAAATGTGGACTGCTGTTGAATGGGATGGGGCACCTTGTGGCAAAAGATGTGGAAAAGGCTGAAGGTATTCAGTTCCTCTTCTATTTCATTCTTTGCTGGTAAGACCAGTTTTTAGGAATCACAGGACCCTGAGAAGCCTGGGAAAGTCCAGTGCAAGGAAGATTTGGGAAGAGAACCAAGTGAGGAAACTGTAAAATATGCTGGACAGACACAGTTTCATGGGACTTGAGGGGATGCATCCTGCAAGTGCAGTGTCAGTTGGCTGGTGGCATTGCAGGAACACTCTCAGTATCCTTCTGAAGACTGTGGCAGCCAGGGCTGTGCATAGCTGGTTTTCCCAGACAGAAGACAAGAGAGTGAAGTGAACAGAACAGACCTTGAGCAACTTCCAGTAATGAAGTGCTGGGACTCTTCTCTCCTCCATTTCCTAAGAACCTGCAAAATGACAGATGCTAAACTTAGACCAACAGGAGCATCTCTTTTCCCATTCCCTTCAAAGGTGCAGAAAGGGTGTGCAGAATATAGAGGGGGGGAATTATTAGTGCTAATTAGTTACAACAAAGGTGGGCCTTCCCATCAGACATGCTGTGAGATACACACTAACACACAGTGCTTTGGTTTTCCCCTTAGGTGCGACTATAAGTGTGATCATTGACATTAATGTCAATATTTCAGTCATTATTTCTGCCCTGATTGCCACTATGTACACACTTGTGGGCGGGCTTTATTCTGTGGCCTACACCGACGTAGTTCAGCTCTTCTGTATCTTCCTGGGACTGGTAAGTTTGGCCTTTTTTGCCCTGTTTTGTCAAGGATTTTGCCCTGAACAGCTAGAAGGGTCAAGTGTGTTCTGGGGTGTACCAGGCACAGCATTGCTAACTGGTCAGACTCACAGAGTGCTGACTTTTAAAAAGAGTCTGCATTTGCATCAGTGTACAGCCCGTACTTTGGAAATAGTGCTGTCCAAGAGGCCTGATTCTTTTTGGCTTCTTTCCAGCCAGTCTGGCAGTCCAACCACTCTTGCAATTTTCCTTTCAGTATGTATCTAATTTAGAATAGGACTGGTGCTGACTCCTTCCCTGTCTGTCTGAAGGACTGTGGCTCGGGTACTGGAAGGAAGCATCAGACGCAGGAAGCTGTTGGTAAAATAGTCCAGAAATACTGTCACTGCACCTGCAGAGTTGATACTCTACTGCTTCTCTTTTCTGTGGTTGTCACCTACACAGCTTAGTTAACCTCCTGTTTACTTAGTTCACCTTCTTGGTTTTTCCCTCATTTCCCTCCACCACCCTTGGAGACCACAATACATGAAGTCTCACCAGATGTCTTGCCTGTTTTAGTGTGGTAGTGTGAATGTCCCTCATCAGCTATCAATGATATGCTAGTGGGTAGCCTTTTATTTACTGCTGTTCTTTAAGCCCCACATTGAAAAACATCAGTGTGACAGGGTCCAGATCACAAGGGTGCAATCAAACAAACTGCTGGCTTTGGCAGCAAACAAATTTTATTTACAGTAATAGACAGGTGTGCATAGTCACAGGTGTGCAGAAAACTGCAACATGCTAAAATAAATTGAGTGGCTCAAGATGAAGGAACCAAAGGGCACCTTGGGGGCCTGGTGTTCTTTCTCTGCTTTCAACAGAGTTCTTGTGCAGCTCTAAGGAAATTGCTTCAGCCAGTGCTTACACAGGTGGTCACTAACCAGCTGTGTGGGTGTACTTATGTTGTGGCATCTTACTGTGAGGACTATGGCCTTTAAGTAATTTAATGGAAATGGTGCTAAATAGCCTGAAAAAGCAAGCCCAGGTTCCAACTGGCCACCTCAAATGTAAAGCTATTCCAGACCTTCTTCCCTCATATCTTTGCTCTTCATCTGAATGAAGGGGAAAATACTATCTCTTTCCTTAATATTAAGTGTTAATATTTGTGAAACATTAAGTTTCTACAGATGGCATGCATTACAGAAATTCCCAAAACTGGAGGTAGTTCAAAGTACAGAAATTGTCTTCCATTGTGATCAAATCATGAACCACTAGAGAGCTTGATCCCATGGGAATAACATTAAAATCAGCATGAACCCGATGGGGGGATGGGAAGTCAATGAAGGTTGTACAGAAGTCTTCTATATTATTAGATCTATAGCTCGATATTGTTTTGCTTAATTCAGGCTGGGCTCTTTACATAATTTCCCATTTGAACAGCCGTAATGTAATGCTGAAGAACCCATATTCATGAACTCAAGAGTGTGATCAGTGAAGCTGAAGAGTCAGTATCTAAATGTTCATGCTCTAGGGAGGCAGGTTTAGATGAGATGTGACAGTCTCACAGTAGATGTCACAGCAGAGGATGGCGCAGGTTCAGTTATGCCAGCAACTTCTCCAGGCTCTGGAGCAGTTTTTACTCCTACTGTCACAGAGCTTTGCTGCTTCTTCCTCTAATGTCTGGTTTCTCTCCTGTTCTTGTCCAAGACAAAAAGCTTGTTGTAATCACCCCTGTTTCTCCCTTCAGCCACAGCTTTTCCCTTAGGCTTTCATAACCTCTACCCCAGTCACTCCATGTGCATCTTTTTCTCTTTACAGTCTCATGTAGTGTCTCTCCTTCCTTCCTCACCTTCCTGTACCCACACCTGTAATTGTCATCATGTCATATTTATCTTGCCTGGTGAGACTTTCCCTGAGCCTGTATCCCCACTATTATCTTTTCATCTCATCTTTATTATTAATTCCCCATTCTAAATTCTATATTTTCCCAAATAATTTCCAGGAATAGTTCAGGGCTGTAATTTTTTGCAGGAAAAGGAGTCTAAATATATAGATGTGTATACAGACACATATATATGTGTGTGTCTGTAAATGATGACATCCCAGTAAACTGCAGGGCCAAAGAAAGTGTCTTGATCTGGTTTATTTGCTAATGAAAAGGCAGTCCTTGAGACCACAAAGAGCTAGGTTACTGTGAGGAGCTGGATTAGTTTACAAAACCTCGTAATGTATTTGCAATACAGTACCAATGAAACCCTGGGCTGTGGCAGGCAGACTCCAGATGGACTTTTATACATTTACCTTACTGAAAATCTCAGCAGAGTATGGCCAAAGTACATCTGTTCTGAAGTTCATCACTTGGATCACTTGGAAACTTCACTTTTGACATTTGAGATTCAGAAACAAGAATAAAAAAAGTCTGTTTGACATCCTTGTTCCCCCTGAATTTCTCAGGAAAGAGAATATTAATATCCTTTAATTTTGACAATATGCTTATTTTCCCTCAAAATATCTTGAAGACAGTTGAAAAATTTTGGTGCTCTTTCAAAAAAAAGCTCAGGCAGAGATTGAAATGGAAATCTTTCTGCCCAACTGCTTAAACTGGCAAAGTTTAACTGAGGGCAGAATCTTATGGTACAGGACAAACTGCCTGAATAACAGGCAGTGCTACAAAATATTCTTCACACACTGTTGTCATAATTGTGCAACAAAATAGAGAAAGTTATTTGACTTTCCCCTCCCTGCTCCTGTCGCCCCTATACACTTAACTCTGGTCAGTTGTGATTGTGGCAATCTGTGTGGTTTTGGATATCACTGGATCCTTAAGGATGCTGTGCTTGTGATGATCTAGTCCATATAGTGCAAAGGCTGGTTTTCACCTTGGTCGAAGCTGCTGAGTTTCTTCTCCACAGAAAGTCAGCGACTTACACAATTGCAAAATGATTTTGCAAGTAAATGCACATAAAGTCAGTCGACTAAGGAATTGGGGCTTCTGGCAGAAACCATCACTGGCAAGACTTTTTTGATTTAGATAAGAAACAAAGAGACTGAAAATGGTAAAGAGACCCCTAGAACGCATCTTTCAGAAAGGTGCTGTAACACTGGTCTAATATTAGTTCTAGAGGAAGAGAGATGAGGCTGCACCAACAGCAATCCTGTCTTTTCATAGTCTTCCAAGACTCAGTTTAGTATTGAATTAAAAACAAATTTGCAAGCCTTCTGATGTGATGTCTCATGCCTGTATGCTGCCATGTCCTGATGCTATTAAATGAAAATTTGTAAGTAAATATTTCTCTACTGTGTGGTCCAGGAAAGAGTGTAAACAATATATGAGGAGGTTAGGTAAAATAAAACAAAGTTCTATAAATGTGTCTTTGCTGCTGATTTTGCAGTTTCTATTGATTAATTCTCTGCACACACTCTCCAGAACACATGTGAGCTATCCATTACCAAGCCCTTTGGATTTCAGAGATGTCCCATCTGCACAAAATCTGACTTCTTGCAAGTTATCTTGATAATTTGGTATTCAATCTGTAGCAAACAAGAATAAGAAGACTAGATGAGTATGAATATTAAAATTTTACAGATTTAGAATATCTTCTTTGCACCTGAGCACATTGTTTCTCTTTGGTTTCAGTGGATCAGTGTCCCCTTTGCCATGTCCCATCCTGCAGTAACAGACATTGGGCTCACGGCTGTGCACCAGGTGTACCAAGCACCTTGGCTTGGATCTATCAACTCACTTGACATTTACACATGGTTGGATAATTTCTTTTTACTGGTAAGTAGTGATCTGTATGAAGGAGTGAAGCATTTAAGCACTATGTTATTGTGACAGGTGAAAATAATAAAGTCTAGTTAAGAGTTTCTATCAAACGGAAAAGTTTTGCCCTCTTGACTCCTGCTTGATATTTCTGTACATTTGAATGATTTCAGGGACATATCAGCCAGCATTGCCAGGAATGCAATTTAAATATCATCAGGCTGAAAGAGCTGACATGTTAAAATTAAATAAAAGTGTGCAGCTAATGCTTAACTGATGTCATTGTTGGCAGAGAAATTCATATATTGCAGAAGGCAATAAATACATTATACAAATGATAAAATATGCTTTAGGTATAGGTGAAGAAACAGCTGTGCAGAGATGGATGGCAGAAATTCGTATATGCACACATGCCAGAATGAACCAAAGTCTTTCATTATTTAATGCCTATATATTACACGTGGTATCAATGGTTATTAAGTACTTTCCATTAGAGGATGTAGAAACACATGCTAACATTTTCCATTCTCAGTGGCCCTATGCAAATTTACACTGGTTTTATTATCATGTACTTTGGGATTACATTTTCTGGGTTTTTTTAAAATCCTCTCAGCCAAAAATCTTCAGGGTTCTTTTATAAATAGTCTACTAAAGCATTTTATTTTATTCAGCATTCTCTCAGAAATCTGAAGTATGACATTAGTTCAAGTGGCTGTATTCTCTCCCGTAAGCCCGAAGGCAAAGAAAAACAGTCATAAATAGCGAGTCAAAACCAGACTTGTCTGTGAAACTAATTTAGTCCCTATGTGTGCAGGAAGCTATATGAAACACCTGTATACACACTTTGTGGTCCAAATGCCTCCTGCCTCATTTAGTGTATAGAACTAGGTTATGAAATTTGCTTGGTTTTCTTTTTATGCTGTTACTTGCTTACTTAGTGTAGACAATTCAAATCCTGCTCTCAAGACACAATTGTTAGCACTCTAGTTTACAACCTTTGATAATACTCTTTTGTGTCATATTTTGCAGAAATAATTTTAAATCAAATCAGGATCTTCAGTTACATATCTTAATAAAAGAGAAGGGTTTTCACCATAAAACAAAACTTTTCTTTTTTTGGTTTTGTCTTCCATTTCTATTGGTATTGTATTTGCTGAAGGCAGTGGGAGAATAATTTTTCAGATTACGGAATAATCAATGTATGCAGAATGTCTCGCTTTCTGCAAAAGACTACATGAATTCACAAAGGAAGATAAAAACTTGCTTTGACATCATGTCAGAGTCTAATTTTAGTGGAGGAGGAGTACTGGAGGAAAAATTCTTCAAATATGAAATATGAAAATAGTACTTTTCATAAAGCTTTATCAAGCAAAGTATTGATGCTAATCGTATAAAATCATATAAAAAAATAACATCTAAAAGAATGGCATTTATGTGGACTGACACAAGTTTGACATTGCTTGTGAGAATGAAAGTTGCAATTATTACTGGCTGGCTGATATTATAAATTAAATTATTCATTATTATTTATGATAAATTATAAAGTAACAATATGGCTTTCAGCATTCAAGTGATCCTTGTACATGTTCTCTATATGATGATAGTAAAAAAATTCAGCTACCCCCCAGCCACAGCATGCTGTTGTGTTTGCAGACATTAGGAGGAATTCCATGGCAAGCGTATTTCCAGAGAGTTCTTTCCTCATCTTCTGCCACATATGCTCAAGTTCTGTCATTCCTGGCTGCTTTTGGCTGTCTTGTGATGGCTATTCCTGCAGTACTGATTGGTGCAATTGGAGCATCTACAGGTAAATTATTAAAAAAAATCAGTAGTACAATAAATGCAAAATGAATGGTGCAATAAATGTGTGAAAATAAATCTTGTGTTAGATATAGGTGACATATAGGTTAGATAGCCAGGTGGCATCATTTTTCAACTCACAACTACACAGAAAAATAATGTTATAGAATATTACTCCCAAAGAAAATTGTTCCTACTGCATTGGATGAAATTAAATAATTTTGTACATTCTAGATACCTGCAGACACAATACTTCTATTCAATGTTTGCATTAGATTCTGGTACTTTTATTTGGTTGTAACAGTAATAAGGGGAATGGGAGCTGTTATTTAGTCTGGAGAAAAAGAGACTGAGGGAAGACATTTTGCTCTCTACAACTACCTGAAAGAAGGTTGTAGCAAGGTACATCTCCCACATAACAAGGAACAGGACAAGAGGAAATGGCCCCAAGTTGCAGCAGGGGAGGTTTAGAATGGATACAGGAAAAATGTGTTCACCAAAAGGTTTGTCAAGCCCTGGAACAGGCTGCCCATGGAAGTGGTCGATTCACCATCCTTGGAGCTATTTAAAATATATGTAGATGTGGCTCTTGAGGATGTGGTTTATTGGTGGGCTTGGTGGTGCTGGGCTGATGGCTCAACTTAATTATCTTAAAGGTGTTTCCCAACCTAAATGATTCTGTAATTTTTCAGAAATTTCTTACTTTGACCAATATACCCTTGCCAAAGTTTTTTTGTCATAGTGAGAGAGATCCCCTTCACAGTGACTGTGTAGCTAAACTGTTAAAAATATTCTGTTAGAAATGTTTACATTGCTTTGAGCCCTGTCTGTAATCCAGAAGAGTAGTTAAACACATCACAAAAAAACATGGATCCCAGACTTATTTTATTGAATAAAACTACATTTATGAGCAATTTAAAGTTTATTTTAGAGACAAGGAAAAATGCTGAGCAGAATTAAATCTGCCTAACAGAAACTAGTGTGACACTGCCTCTCTGACATGCCATCGGTCTGGCTCTAGTAAAAGCTTGTTCATTGAATGCACATGAAAATGTGGTACTATGAGTAGCTTGCTGTGCATGAAGTCAAGAGGTGATATGACTGCTAATGTTACTTATTTTATTATTTTTTATTAAATATTTATTATTTTTATTATTACATCCATGTGTCCATATTGCAGCTTGGAACCAGACTGAATACGGTGTGCCGGACCCCAAGAGCAAAAAAGAAGCAGATATGATTTTACCCATCGTGCTGCAGTACCTTTGCCCAGTCTATATCTCGTTCTTTGGCCTCGGTGCCGTATCTGCTGCTGTGATGTCCTCAGCTGACTCCTCAATTTTATCAGCAAGTTCTATGTTTGCTCGGAACATTTACCAGCTTTCTTTTCGGCAAAATGTGAGACAATTTTTTAGTTTTTACTTCTAAAGAAAATTTTAGGTGAGACCTGAACTAGGTGATACATAGACTACAAATTCATAATAAAACACCTCTGTCATGTTCCTGCCTATAACTAGAAAAATAATTTCATTACTAACAGTATGTTTAAAAAACTGAAAATCATAAAAATAGTTCTGGTTGTGATTGATGACAGAAGTAAAAAAGCTGGCTTGGGGAGGGCAGCTGTCAAGAGTTCTCATGAAACTGCAATTTATCCAAATAGATAATTACCATTCCTACAAGTGTAAATTCTACTTAAATTCTTCACAAAATGAGCCATTTTTCTAATGTTTCATTTATTGAGAATTTTTTGGCAACAGAATGGTCTAATGAGTTGGAATTTTTCTTAGGAAACAGAAAAGAAGAAATTCTGATGCTGACAGGTTTTTTTCTATTTGAGACATATTGTGATTCTATTTAAAAGTTATTTCTTACACTGCTGTTTTTATTCTTTGACTCATCATCAAGCTTTTTGCTACATTCAAAGAGTAATGGTTTTGGGAATGGCAACCATAACCCTTTTTTCTCTGAGCTTGAGACTGAAATAGAGATATTAGTTTGCAATTATTATTGAATGAATCATGCAAAGCTTTCTTTTACAATTCAGTATTTTATATTGACTGTAATTATATTGACTGTGATTTATATTGACTTATATACAGTCAATATTATATTTTGACTGTATATAAGTGTAGGCATACATGTAGGGACATGAAAAAACCACCTAACACTGCCCTTTCTTTTGCAGGCTTCAGACAGGGAAATTGTGTGGGTCATGAGAATCACTGTTCTTCTGTTTGGAGCGTCAGCAACAGCAATGGCACTGCTGGCTTCATCAGTGTACGGCCTCTGGTACCTCAGCTCTGACCTGGTTTATATCATCATATTCCCCCAGCTCCTGTGTGTGTTATTTATTAAAGGAACCAACACCTACGGTGCCATTGCAGGATACCTGTTTGGCCTCGTCCTCAGAATAACTGGAGGAGAACCGTACCTCTACCTTCAGCCCTTGATCTTCTACCCTGGCTGGTATCAAGATGATAACAATCTCTATATCCAGCGATTCCCATTTAAAACACTGGCAATGCTCTCCTCCTTCTTTACTAATGTCACAGTCTCCTACTTAGCTAAATACTTATTTGAGAGTGGGACTTTGCCACCAAAGCTGGACTTTCTTGATGCTGTTGTTGCTAGATACAGTAGAGAACACATGGACAAAGCAACTCTTGTAAAAAGCGACAATATTGTATTAAATGAACTTGCACCTGTGAATCCACGACACAGTCTAACTTTGAGCTCAACTTTCACAAACAAGGAAGCCTTCAACTACGTTGATTCAAGTCCAGAACTGTCCAACACTGAAGATAATTAAAAAAATCTTGTAGCCACAGGCAAAACAATGAGAAGCAGGATATTCTACAAAGAATAGTAAGAAGTGTTTTATCAGAAGAAAAGCAAGAATTGGGAATAAATGCCACTGCACATTCTTTAAGTTGTATCTAGGAGCAGGAGCATCCTATGGGAAGAACTCTTTTTCTGCTATTATCTAATATGTTGGATTAGATCACAGAGTGTTTACTAAAGTATGCACTCAATCCCATTCCTTTTATCCAGAGCTATATACTGTACAATTAAAAAAATATTAAAAATTTAAAATATATGTAGAAAAAAATGTGCAACAGTTCTTAGCTAGGATATCATATGAAGAGATTATAATACAGTAAGTCTGAAATATTATCACTCAGCATTTTATTGGCATTAACTGAAAATATATTGCCACAGCTATAAGTGATTTATTACTAAAGAGTTAGTTGCTTGAGCAAAGACAGATAGACAACTTCCCTGGGGTTTTGGTCTGGTAATTTTTTCCTTATAAAGAAATTTAAGTAATACAATCTAGTATTTTATTATTTGTGTGGTACAGCAAAATGTACAAAGAGTAATAAATTTCTCATAGGAGTGCTAAACATGATATATTAATTTTTAAAAGTTAAAATTAAATCACCAGTTTAAAATTATGTTATAGCTGATGTGAGACAACCTTAAGCAAAACATTTTAATATAGATGTTCTCTTTCTTCTTCTGTGGTTAGTGACTGTCACCAAAATTATTAGAGCAATAACTGGAGTTGAAATTCAGCTTGTGAAAAATGGCTCTTATAGAAAAACTCATAAACTAAATAGAACTTTTCAGTGTTGGGAGAAGAAGCCTTATCCTGACTTATCATCAAAATGAACACAAGCAAAGCAGTCTGACACCAAGCTACTTCACCAGTGAAATAAATATTGAAAAGTAAAGAGAATCAAGAAGGCTTGAAAATAGAGATGTGAGGGTTTTCCTTGCAGAAAAATCACAATTTTCACTTATTGAAAAAGCTATTCCTAAAGATGCCAAAAAGTCTTTTGGCTTGGTCATGCTGGAATTACTCTGAAAAATCCAGGTTTTCCATAGAAAATAACATTTCCTCAAAAATGTCTCAAAAAAAAACCAAACAGGCTTGCTGGACATCTTTCCACATCTCTAAGTGTTTGCCTCTGAAAGCAGCTTGGAGAGGAGCTGAAAGGAATGCTGAACCCACAAACATGGTGAGAGGCACAGTGGTGTCTGGACTCCTTCCCTGACCGCTGTCCTCCTGGCTGTCACACTGAGCCTGCAGAGCAGCAGCAGTGGCCAGGTGCAGACAAGACTTCGCTCACAAGTGGAAATGCTGGCCAGAAGCAGCAAAGAGGGGAGATGAGGCCCCTGCTGACTTTGCCCAGGCCAGCAGGAACATGCGATGTCGTTTCCACTTGCCCACGGCCAAGATGATTGTGTCTGTCCCCATTGGTATGTGCCTTTCTCAGTGCAAGCTCTAGTACCTATATTTCTCTACAATTAAGAGTTATGCTCCAATAATTCTTTTTAAAATCTGTGAATGACGCAAAATGTTCATTTGAAATCCAGATATCCTCCTGTTGCTGGTCACCAGTGAAATTTCTTTTTTTGGCACTCACAGCACGAGGAGTTATACTGGAGGATAGGAGATGTAAGAATAGGTTTTGCTGCTAAAGGAAGAAGCCATCAACTTGTGCATTCAACGCTGACATAAGCTTTCACGTGGTTGAATCTTTAGATATGTTTTTCTCCTTTTGTGGAGTCTTAACAGCAGATACATATATATATATATTTAATATGTAGAGAAAATTCATTTCAGAGATGTTGATTTTTATTTTTTTTTCCTTACACTGCATTTAAAAATAACACTGCAATTCAGTTCCGAATACTCATTGTGATCTGCAGTACTACTGTGCTTACTAATATGGAGTGTGCTCTGGGTGGAGGGAATCAAAGCCAGGATCTGCACTAAAAACTCAGAAGAGCCATTATAGCAAAGAAATGAAAAATTCCTGCGAGGTGAGTGAATAGGCCACCAGTGAAATTCAGGGTGCTGAGTATCACGAACCAAACACGAGCCCAGCAGTATTAATTCCCCCATGAACCACAGAAGAGATGAGGAAATAGACTTCAGAGAGGAAAGAAGGGAGGAACAGAGCCACTGCCGAGTTATTCTCCATTTTCAGCCCAAATCCACTAACTAGTCTGAATCTTTTCTTATAGGGAAATATCAAGTCACAGTTTTACCTGCTTACATAGCCAATGCCTTATGCTGCTGTTCCAAATTAAGTTAGAGGATCCCATTTTACAGTCACCTGTAGGCCTTCCTAAAAACTTTTCTCTTACCTCAGTTTTGTCCAGGAATTGCTAGAATTTCACTATGAGATGCTGCATAGTGACCAGATGTTTTGAATACAGCAACATTTCTATATTACTTATTTCAAAATGCCAGCTGTGGGAAAATAAGAAAAAGAGAAGGGGATTGAGCTGGAATAATTTAAGAAATTTTGATTGAAACATAAAAATATTTTTTTTCAATCTATTTAATTGTTGCCATAAAAATGTGAATGGTTTTAAAATGCTCAAAAAAAAAAGGTAGGTGAGGAAAAGAAGTGTTAGTCCAAAAATTTCAATCCAGATGCTTTCAACACTAATCAGAATATTTTAGTTTTTATCCTATAGATTTTTTTTTTTAATTTATGTGATTTTATGGGGTTTTCCTGCTTAGATGGACTACAAAAGCCAAACCAAACAGCCCCATGCAAAGTCTGTTTACAGGTTTTACTGCCTTAGCTCAGATGTCCTACCATTAAATTTGTACAGAGCCATTCATGTAACCAAAGGCTATATCTGTGATTGATAGCTGTGGGGAAAAAAACAAACAAAAAACCAAAACAATCAAACAAAAACTATGTTACTTCCACAGGCAAAATGCCAACAGGATATGATTCTTTAAGCAGATTTTATTTTCAGAGGAATTATCAGTCTTTCTCCCCTTTTGCAATTTGTGGACAGTAGTACTGTGCAGTAAATTGGATTTATAATCAGTGAAGCAAACAGCTCATTTTCAGACACTGAGGTTATTGTTTCTAAGCCTAGAATTTTAAGATAAAAATATTTAAGATAAAATATTAGAGTCATATATTTTACTTTCATATTCTTAGCATTTGTGAATAACATTTATTTGACAGAGTTTTTTTGCCTCCTTTGCATGAGATGTGTTCATAAAATCAAGGTTGATAACATAGCTGACATGTCAAAAAAGTTATTTCATCTCTACTTGTCCAAATGGGATGGTAAACATGTTATAAACAAACCATACTTTTGTGAACCTGAACTGAATGTAAACATTAAGTGGATCAAATAAAGTCAGATTTAGTCTTTTATTTTCATATAGTACAAGAATTTAGGATTTCAAATAGAAGTATCATAGGAAAAAACTGTGATTCATTTTTCCTTCTGCCCTTCAAGTGTACTGGTAAAGTTCCACGTGCAGTTAGTAAGTTATTGTAAGTCTGCTATTAATCAGGGCAGTATTTGTGGATGTAGTTTAAAAAAAAAAAAAAGAAGTATATTTTTGTCTGTGTCAGAAATGTTATATTAAGACTATACTTAACAAAGCAGATAGGAAGCATAATATAGATATATATGTTTTAACTTCATTTGTATTGTATTCAATAGCGTCCATGCATTTCAGGAAAATATTGTCTGGTTTTGGGTCTGTTTTGTCCATCTATTAAAAATAAAGATGTTTATTTTATTATCACTCAGCATCACCTAAAGTTCTGTCCCACAAGCATAGCCCCACAGATATGAGGTGGTCCTGGCAAAAGGGGATCTGGTCCTCACCCAGGCAATCAGCACAGTCACAATGGCTACAGCCCTACCCCAAAACCTGGCTTCAGTGCTGGAAACAGAGTTCTCATTTCAGTAATCTCCTCCTTGTCCTCACAGTCACAAAGAAGAGAAGACCCTGAGCTCCAGGATAATCTGCATCCAGAGGGATTCCCTCCTGCAGACCCCTTGCCAAGGACATTCATTTGGGGGTTCCACACTGGGAGAGGGGCTGTGAGTTTGACAAGGAGCACAAAATACACTATGGGAGCAGGAGCTCCCACACGTAGGAGACTGCAGCTGTGATCCACTCCTGTGTGAATCCACTGGAGAAAGGGTCTGATAGCTTTTCCCTTTGTAGAGGGACATGAAATCATCCTGGACATTGAATATGCTATAAATATAATTATTTAGAAATACAAAAATTTGTGGATTGAAAATTAAATCTGTGCTTTTATACTCCTATTAAGAGTTTGATCATCTCAGGAAAGATACAAATGGGTGGCTTTCCAAATGCTAATGGTATTGCCAAATAATGGCACATGCCCAATATACAGAGTATTTATCCCCCAAATGCTTTGAAAAAGTACATGCACAATACTATCCACTCAGGGAGGGGAAAAATAAGGCACACTGAATTGTTTTGCAGGGCACTGAGGTGTTCCCTTATGGAATAAGCACAGTGTGAGGTTTTCAAAGAGTGTCAGATAGTGTAGACATTTCCCTGAGGCCGTAACGCTCTGGTCTCTTTTGCAATTAGTAGTTTAATTCCCACCCTCTTCTTTGAAACACTGAAGCATGCTTTAAGACGAGACCCCTGATAGCCTGTAAGTTGTAACTCAGAAAAAAAGCAAGTCCATAATCCTACAGATTCAAAAAAAGAAGAAAAAGCCTTAAGTACCATTGTGCCAATGGTTGCAGTGGAAACATTAGTTAATGGTTTTGCCACACTGCATGACACATAAAATGCCATGTTCAGGCCAGCTCTGGCCAAAAACAGAGCAAAACCCTGCCTAGGAAGTTCTGCTTAGGGACTTTGGGGCTTTTAACCTTCAGGAGCCGTTCCCAGAAAAGGCATAGTTCCCAGGGGTGAGTTTGCACCTGACTGTCTGGAGCACTGACCTTCAGCAACCAAGACTAGAAAAACAGATAGAGAAAAACATC